CTGTGGAGGACAAGTAGGAATTAGCAGATATGTAGGAGAGAAAAATCCATAAAATCAAAAGATGTTTTTCTGAAAAGATTAATACTAATCAAGGAGGGAAGAAAGAAAACACAAACTTTTATCAAAAGCAATGAAAAATGAGACATCAATACAGTTCCTAACTGTAGGATAGCAGGAGGATATTAGGAAGAACTTAAGCCAATAAATTTGGCAGTGTAGGCCGGGTATGGTGGCTCACGCCTGTTAGCCCAGCACTTTGGGAGGCTGAAGTCGGCGGATCACTTGAAGTCAGGACTTTGAGACCAGCCTGGCCAACATGGTGAAACCCCACCTCTACTAAAATACCAAAAAAAAAAAAAAAATTAGCTGGGCATGGTGGCAGGTACCTGTAGTCCCAACTAATCGGGAGGCTGAGGTAGGAGAATCGCTTGAACCCAGGAGGTGGGAGTTGTAGTGAGCCAAGATCACACCACTGTACTCCAGTCTGGACAACAGATGAGACTCTATGTTAAAAAAAAATACAAATAAAAATTGGCAACAGAGGAAACAGTTTCCTTGGAAGACACAATTTAGCAATATTCACATGAGAAGAAACAAAATCTGAGTAGTTATATCTGTTGGAGATGTTGAATGCACCTTCCCATGAAGGAAACTGCAGGTCCAAGGCTGGCGCAGTGGCTCACACTTGTAATTCCAAGTTTGGGAGACAGGTCGGAGAATCTCTTGAGCTTAGGAGTTAAAGACTGCAGTGAGCCATGATCACTCCCCTGCATTCCCGCCTGGGGGATACAGTGAGACCCTGTCTCAAACAAAAAAGGAAAACTACAGGTTCCGATGCCTTCACTGGTGAATTCCTCCAAACATTTAAGAAAGAAAGAACACCGTCCGGGTGCGGTGTGTCGCGCCTGTAAGCCCAGCACTTAGGGAGGCCAAGGCGGACAGACCACCTGAGGTCAGGAGTTCTATATCAGCCTTGTGAAATATGGTGAAACCCCGTCTTTACTAAAAATACAAAAATTAGCTGGGCATGGTGGCATGCGCCTGTAATCCCAGCTACTTGGGAGGCTGAGTCAGGAGGATTGCTTGAACCCAGGAGGCAGAGGTTGCAGTGAGCCGAGATCGTGCCTCTGTACTCCAGCCTTGGTGAGTGAGAGTGAGACTTTGTCTTGGGAAAACAAAACAAAACAGAACATACAGTAAAAACTGCATACAAATCCCCTGTAGAAATGGGGGTGGGTAGAAGGGCAGGCCACTTGGGGACAGAGCGCTCACCTTTCATAGCGGGGTTGGATTACGAGTAGTAACGATGGTATAGATCTGGACAAACCTGAGCTGAAGAGCTCAGAAATGAGTGAGGGATGCTTACTGTGAGATGTCCAGGAGATGGCGCTAGGGGAAAACAGGCTGGTGAGGGCAGTAGTTAAGGGTTCCTTTGAGGAGGGGACTTTGACTTTACATTTTATAGTTTGAGCACTTTGTTTTCTTGCAGTGTGCTACTTTTATTTGCAGGGGCGGGGAGGGTCGGGGTGGTGATGGGGGAAATGGTAGATTTGTTCTTTCCTTCTAACCAGTTCCTTCTGATTGCTGGGTAGAGGATAATTGCAGAGGGTGAGGCTGGGGCCGGCTGGGAAGGAGACTGGAGGTGGGACCTACTTTAGTGTTAGGCTTAGATCTAATGAGCACCATGCCCAGGCCTGGCCTGGCACTGGGAGTGCTGGGGACACAGCAGTGACCAGGACAGCCCTGGGCCCCGCTCTTGTGAGGCTTACAGGCTAGTGAGGGAGACAGATGGCAGACAAGTAACTAGATAGCCACCATTCCTGATTGTGATAGGCACTTGGAAGGGGATAGACAGGGTGTATTCCTCCTGTTCTTGAGGTCAGGGAGGGGATGTGGGTCAGAACTGGAATGGAGCCTGGACCAGGACGGCAGAAGGGAGTCCACTGGGAGAGACGTTCAAGATGCAAAATGGACCCGACACGCAGCTGAGAGGCCCTGGGAGGAGGGTTACAGCTGAGATGAGGCCCTGGTCTCTAGCCGGGGGACAGGTGGATGTGAGGCCAGGAGCTGGGTTCAGGTTCAGAAACGCTGAGTGTGAGGGTTCTGGGAGGCATCTGGAGCCTGTTGCCCTGCTAAGTCTGATGAATCCTTCAGCTTATCCCATCCCAGCCCCTCACAGCTATCCCTTCTTCATAACTCTTCATTCCTACCTGGACTGTGTTTCCTGAACCCCACATCTGACCGCTGGCCCGAGGGAGAATGTCGTCGGCCCCGACTCTGAAAGCCCTTGAACACGTGCCTGTGTGCACACACACACACCCTCTTTGATTTGATTTCCTGTGCCCTGGGTATGTGCCCACTCCAATTGGTACACCCAGACCTACCTGCTTATCCAGATCCCCATGCTTGGTCTACCCAGGAAGGCCAGAGGAGCTGGAGCCCTCACTGCTCACCATTCTCTGGCTACCGTGCTAGGTGTCCCTGACGTGAAAGAGGCAGTGACAGTTTACGGACCCAGCTCTGGGCCGACCAACAGGGCTGCCATGTGTCATTGTCAGGATGTTGTCCTTCCTGTGTTACAGAGGGGTCATGGAAGGCTGTCATTGCCCAGGCAGCAGGTGACAGAGCCCTGGGGAGACTCTAGGTTGGCCTGACCCTAAGACCTCAGTGTGGGAGGGGGCTCCACAGCCTGGACCCCAGGAACCCCCAGGGCCTAAGCCACAGTCAGCTCTAGGAGAAACTGTAGCAGCTGACGGTGACTGCCCAGGCTCTGGGCTCGCTGCTCACGTCTTCCCTCCAGCTCCGGCAGAACTCCCCAAGCCTTCCTGCTGCCCTACCCCCGTTGAAGATGAAAAATGGTGTAGTGGCTGGGCACAGGGGCTCTTGCCTGTTGTCCCAGTACTTTGGGAGGCTGAGGCAGGATGATTGCTTGAGCCCAGGAGTTCAAGACCGGCTTCAGCAACATAGCAAGACCACATCTCTACAAAAATTTAAAAAAAAAGAAAAAGAAAAACAGCCACGCATGATGGGGCATCTGTAGTTCCTATAGTTCCAGCTGCTCCAGAGGCTGAGGGGGAGCATTGCTTGAGTCTAGGTATTCGAGGTTGCAGCGAACTGTGATGGAGCCAGTGTCCTTCCATGCCGGACAACAGAGTGAGATCCCATCTGTTAAAATAAATAAATGTGATGCAATATGGCAAGACTCCATCTCTACCCACCCCCCAAAAAAGTAGCCGGGCGTGGTATGGTTGCATGCGCCTGTAGTTCCGCTACTTGGGAGGCTGAGGTGGGAGGATGACTTGAGCCTGGGAGGCAGAGGTTGTAGTGAGCCAAGATTGCACCGCTGCACTCCAGCCTGGGTGACAGAACCAGATCCTGGCTCAGAAAAAAAAAAAAAAAAAAATCGTGCCCTCTAGTGTGTTTTCAAGTTGAGAACTGAAACTTTTCTTCATAACCTTAAGTAGCTGTGAAGGATATAATTTCTGGTTCTGGTGTGCTATGATATTGACATGTTCAAACAGCTGGTAGATTCTTCCCTTCATATTTATTGCAGTTCACTTACAATAATAATGATCTGATGCCTACCAATGTGTGGTTTAAAGACATATATGTAAAAGGCCAGGCACAGTGGCTCAAGCCTGTGATCCCAGCACTTTGGGAGGCCAAGGCAGGTGGATCGCTTGAGCCCAGGCATTCGAGACCAGCCTGGGCAACCTTCTGATACCCTGATATTGATACTGAAGATGTACCGCTAGTCCCAGCTACTCAAGGGACTGAGGTGGGAGGATCACTTGAGCCTGGAAGGTCAAAACTGCAGTGAGCCATGATTGTGCCACAACACTCCAGCTGGGTGACAAAGCAAGACCCCATCTCAAAATAATAATAAAAAAAAAAAGGTCTTCTTTTTCAATCAGAAATTTCACACGGTTTCTTTTTGTTCATGTACTTTTAAATTTACAGTCCACATACCCACAGAATTCCATCTAATGATTTATACGTCGGCAACCAAAATACATACAGAAATGTACATGTTAATTTCCTGTGACCATAAGGTTCTAAATGCTGAATGATTTTCTTCTGGATTGAGTGAACTTTGAAATTATTGTTAGTGCCCAGTTACTTTAAAACGTTCATCTCTTATACATTTTCATGAATTATTACTAAACCTTAAAAAAGTAAAAGGAGATGTTGGAAATGAATCTGCAAAGGCACTAGACAAGGTCCCCTCTATGGCTTCATATGCCCTTGGATGAATATTAATTATTGCAGGAGTGAGTCAGGGTACAGCGTCCGTTCTGCATTGGTTTTAAAGACTCACGTGCTGGGAATCTTCCTTCATAAAGAAGCAGCTAGGCGAGGAAGGAGTTTTTGTTACAGCAGCACCGCTCACCTCTTGAGCTGCCTCCAAGGTATGTGTCCCAAACCTCACTGTGAAGAGCCCCAGCTCTTAGCTCCACCTTCATGGCTGGTGAAATTCTAGGACTGGAGCCATCAGACTTGCGAAAATGACTGATCACTTCGTGTTCGGAGGCACTTAGCATCGACTCCCGCCTTAAGCTGCCCTTTCTTTGGAGCCAGGACCCCCCACACCCTCTCCTTAACTGCAGCCCCAACTCTGCACTTTGGGAAGATAACGCAAGAAAGGGGGTTGGTCTTCCTTCTGGGAAGCGGGTGGGGCAACAGTGCCAGGACAGGACTGCTGGGCTGGCGGTGGCTTAAGGGAGGAACACAGGGAGCTAAGCATCTGGCAACGAGACCTTTAGACCTTCCATTAACTTGGCGCTGTGGGAACTCCTGGTATCCTTCCTAGGGTGTGGCCCCCCAAGTCTGAGGACCTCCCCTCTGGGCAGTGTTCTTCATCCCTGGCTAGCTTGCTAGAATCTTCTGGTCTTTTGAAAGACCCCTGGGTTACACAAGCTAGGTGACTGCATTCCCTGGGTGAGAGGGGTGGGGCCTGCAGGGGCACCTAGAGTGCGGCCTGACTTTCTCTTCCCCCGCAGTGTACCACTGGGTGGAGATGCGGACCAAGATGCGCATCATGGGCTTCCGGGGCACGGTCATCAAGCCGCTGAACGAGGAGGCGGCCGCCGAGCTCGGCGCGGAGCTCCTGGGGGAAGCCACCATCTTCATCGTGGGCGGTGGCTGCCTGGTGCTGGAGTACTGGCGCCACCAGGCGCAGCAGCGCCACAAGGAGGAGGAACAGCGCGCCGCCTGGAACGCTCTGCGGGACGAGGTAGGCCACCTGGCGCTGGCGCTCGAAGCGCTGCAGGCGCAGGTGCAGGCGGCGCCGCCACAGGGCGCCCTGGAGGAACTGCGCGCGGAGCTGCAAGAGGTGCGCGCCCAGCTCTGCAACCCCGGCCGGTCCGCGTCCCAGGCAGTGCCTGCGTCCAAGAAATAGGAGCTTGCTGGAGCCTGAATTTGGGCGTGGCCGTATGTACCTAACAGTGGCCTTCTTCCCGCACCACCGCTGCCTGCGCTCGCCCAGTGGAAACCACCAGGATCTTGATGCAACTTGGTGTTTGGTTACCCCGGCTGATGAGGGCAGTATTTACCTGCCACTGGGACCAGCAGGCAAAGCGTTGCAACATAGCCCCCTCCGTCATCCTTCACCCCCTAACCCCACTCCAAACCAGGACGACCCGCAAGGCCCTAGCCAGCAGGACATCGCGGGCACTCTGGCAAATGAAAAAGTGGAACCTGGGCTTGAGCTGACTCCAATGTATTATGGTTACCCCCATCCCCGGTTTACCTGATCAGTGTTAACCTTTCCTAAGATGCTCCTCCCTTATACTGGAACACCCCCTTCTTTTTGTCAATCGGTACAGACCACTGTAAGGAAATGAAGTGTCTTGCAGTGGCCTTTTCTCCCCGTCACCTTCAACGTCATCTCTAGCTGGGGATCACTGCTCTCTTCAGGAGAAAAAAGATGTGGCCGGGAGCTGTGGCTGAGGCCTGTAAACCCAGCACTTTGGGAGGCAGAGGCAGGCAGATCACATGAAGTCTGGAGTTCAAGATCAGTCTGGCCAGTATGGTGAAACCCCATCTGTATTAAAAATACAAAATTTGTCTGGGCGCGGTGGCTCAAGCCTGTAATCCCAGCACTTTGGGAGGCTGAGGCGGGTGGATCACGAGGTCAAGAGATCGAGACTATCCTGGTCAACATGGTGAAACCCCGTCTCTACTAAAAATACAAAAAATTAGCTGGGCCTGGTGGCACGTGCCTGTAATCCCAGCTACTCAGGAGGCTGAGGCAGGAGAATTGCTTGAACCCAGGAGGCGGAGGTTGCGGTGAGCCGAGATCGCGCCATTGTACTCCAGCCTGGGTAACAAGAGCGAAACTCCGTCTCAAAATAATAATAATAATAATAATAATAATACAAAATTTGGCTAGGCATAATCCCAGCACTTTGGGAGGCTGAGGCGGGTGGAGGTCAGGAGTTCGAGACCAGCCTGACCAACATGATGAAACCCCATCTCTACTAAAAGTACAAAAACTAGCCAGGAGTGTTGGCACACGCCTGCAATCCCAGCTACTCGGGAGGCTGAGGCAGGAGAATTGCTTGAACCTGGGAGGTGGAGGTTGCAGTGAGCCAAGATGGCACCATTGTACTCTAGCCTGGGCAACAGAGCAAGACTGTGTCTCAAAATAAAACCGAAAATTAACCGCGCATGGTGGCGGGTGCCTGTAATCCCAGCTACTTGGGAGGCTGAGGCAGAAGAATTGCTTGAAGCCGGGAGGTGGAGGTTGCAGTGAGCTGAGATCGTGCCATTGTACTCCAGCCCGGGTCACAGAGCAAGACTCTGTCTCAAAAAAAAAAAAAAACCCAAGGTCCTGGCCTGCAGTCAATCTGTGGAAACACTAACTCCTTGAGGCCCCGAGTGGACTATTCCAGCAGAACTCCCTCATCCTAGAGTCTATGGCACAAACCACTGGAATGGCGCTGCAGGGGCTTTCCTGGCAGTGTCCTCCAACCCCCTTTCCATGGTGGAAAATTTGATCCTAATTAGGGCTAATCCAGCCTGTCCTTCAGCCTCCGCCTCCTGTTTTCCTGTCCTCAGAGTCCCTGCACCTTGTACTGCATGGCGGGTCCTTTCTTACCTTCCCCACCGTGCTGAGTAGCATTTCTCAGGGCCCCAGTCAAATCCAAGTCCATGGATTCAGTTGTCACATCCTCCATCCTCCATCCGCGTCTCCCGATCTGTGTTCCTGCTTTCTTTCCTCGCAGCTCTGGACTGATCTGACAGTCCATCTTCATATAGCGGTACCTTCCTGCCTCCACAGTCCCCAGTCCCACCCCCATCCCACTGATTAGGCCACCAGTTGGCCTTAACGCCTTGATTAATTTCCTGGGGCTGCCGTAACAGGTCACCACTGGGTCGTGAACTTGATGGCTAGAGTCCAACAGGAATTTCATTCATGTGGTTCTGGAGTCCCGAAGTCTGAAACCAAGGTGCTGACAGGGACAGCTCCCTCTTCCAGATCCTGGTGACTCCAGGCCTTCCCTGGCTCTGCCTCCAGCTTCACAGGACCTTCTCCTTCTTCTGTTTTGTCTCTTACAAGAACACGTGTCATTGCAGGTAGGGTCGATCTTAAGTTCAGGATGATCCCACCTCAAGACACTTAACCTAATCACATCTTTTAAAAAACCTTTTTTTCAAATAAGCTGTCATAATCACAGGTCCTGGACGTTAGTATGTGGACGTGTCTGTTGAGAGTCCACCATTCAAGCCGTTCAACCCACTGCTACTCCCCACCCCAAGAGTATGCTGGTGTCTAGGTGCAGTGGCTCACACCTGTAATCCCAGCACTTTGGGAGACCAAGTCAGGAGGGATCTCTGAGTGCAGGAGTTGAAGACCAGCCTGGGCAACATAGTGAGACATCTCTACAAAAGTAAAAAATGATTCAGGTGTACTGGTGCATGCCTGTAGTCCCAGCTACTTGGGAGGCTGAGGCAGGAGGATCACCTGAGCCCTGGAGGTTGAGGCTGCAGCGAGCTGTGATCACGCCACTACACTCCAGCCTGGGTGACAGAGTGAGACCCTGTCCCCCCCCCCCAAAAAAAAAGGACTCTGGGACTCCCACCAACCCCGCAGGCCACGTAGCCTTCCTTCTAGCTGAGAGGAGCAGTCTAGGAACCACCTTTTGCCACTGGGTTTCTCTTCCAGGATGCTCCACTGAAGTGGGAGGCGGGTGGGCCCCACTAGCCTGCAGTCTACCCTTCCGACTGTAGCTGTCTCCTAATTAGAGGAGCCGCAGGGTGATGAAGGCATCCTGAGTATGTGTCGGAGAACCATCATGTGGATCGCCACAGTGGGTACCGAGCTTATTAAAATCAGGAGGGAAGCTGGGAGGGCTCTGCTGGGGAGAGGCCCAAAAGTCACCCTACGAGCTAGGGAAGCTGAGGCCAAGTGTATGCAAGGGGACTTGCCAGAGGTGCCACAGCCAATGAGGGGCCGACTTCCCAGGGTGGTGAAGTAGCAGGGGCAGAGTGAGGGTCTTGGATTACCCCAGCTGCAGAGTGAGGAGAGAGAGGCAATGACCGATTGGAGGCTGAGGGATGGCAATCTCTACACAGGCCCAGGGCATCCCAGAGGTGGCACTGGCAGTAGGGGACCCTCTCTGTTCCCTCTCAGAGCAGCCCTGGATCACACCTGAGATTCTAGCATTGAGTAAACGGGGTGACCCTTCACCTGGGCCTGCTCCCAGCAGGCGGCAGGTGAAAGTGGGAGGGCGGGATTTACCCCACCTCCACCCTCATCTCCCTCCTCTAAGGAGGTAAAAATGGCCTGAACCAAGATCTGCCAGATAGAAAGCCAAGAAACAGGTTCTGAAACAGCATTTCTTTTCTGTTTTGTTTTGGTTTTTTTTTTTTGGAAGACAGAATCTAGCTCTGTTGCCCAGGCTGGAGTGCAGTGGCCTGATCGCTGCTCACTGCAACTTCCACCTACCAGACTCAAGCAATTCTCCTGCCTCAGCCGCCTAAGTAGCTAGGATTACAGGCACATGCTACCACGCCCAGCTAATTTTTGCATTTTAGTAGAGACCAGGTTTCACCAAGTTGCCCAGACTGGTCTCGAACTCCTGACCTCAGGTGATCTGCCCGCCTTTGCCTTTCAAATGCTGGGATTACAGGTGTTAGCCACCTCATCTGGCCTGAAACAGCGTTTCAGTTCGTTCTAGAAGAAGGGGAGAAGTTGGAGCAGAGGGAACTGACCAAGTGGGTCCTGAGTGGGTCTGTGACCCAGGCCGGATGTGGTGGCTCACGCCTGTCATCCCGGCACTCTTAGAGACCGAGGTGGACAGATCACATGAGGTCAGGAGATTGAGAACAGCCTGGCCAACATGGTGATACCCCATCTCTCTAAATATCCAAAAATTAGCTGGGGGTGGTGGTGCATGCCTGAATCCCAGCTATTCAGGGGGCTGAGGCACCAGAATCGCGTGAACCCAGGAGGCGGGGGTTGCCGTGAGGGTTGCCATGAGCCAGGATTTGAGCCACTGCACTCCAGCCTGGGTGACAGACTGAGTATCACACACACAAAAAGAAAGTGGTGGGAATGTGAAGATGGGCAGGAGGAGCCCCAGTTCCTGACCCCAGCGCCGTCCTGACCCGAATGAGACTTCGCGCTCAGCCCCGCCCTCCCCTGACAGGTGGCCAGTCTTTGTGGGCATCAGGGCCATCTGCTTCCCCCACTGCAGTGTCGGGGGTGGCCAGGGTGTGTGGAAATGGAAAGAACGACTTCTCAAAATGCAAGAGGCCAGAGGACGGTTCACTGCTCGCGCGTTCTACTAGCTAAAATTCCGTTTACCTTGCGATTTGGGGAGAGAGGTTAGAATAAATTTGTAAATGAAACTGATTGTCTTCAACTTGATGCATTCTTTTTTCATATTTAAAAAGTCCTTGGGTCCGGGCGCGGTGGCTTATGCCTGTAATCCCAACACTTTGGGAGGCCAAAGCAGGTGGATCACCTGAGGTCAGGTGTTCAAGACCAGCCTGACCAATATGAAACCCTGTCTCTACTAAAAATACAAAAATTGGCAGGACATAGTGGTGGGTGCCTGTAATCCCAGCTACTGGGGAAGCTGAGGCAGAAGAATTGCTTGAACCTGGGAGGCGGAGGTCGAAGTGAGCCGAGATCGACATGAGCCATTGCGTTCCAGCCTTGGCAACAGGAAGGAAGCTTCGTCTCAAAAAAAAAAAAGGCCAGGCTGGGTGGCTCATGCCTGTAATCCCAGCACTTCAGGTGGCTGAGGCCAGCAGATCATTTGAGGAGTTTTTGAGACCAACCTGGCCAACATGGTGAAACCCTGTCTCTAGAAAAAATGCAAAAATTAGCCGGGCATAATGATGCATGATGAGGCAAGATTGCACCACTGCACTCCAGCCTCCAGCCTGGGCAACAGAGCAAGGCTCTGTCTCAATAAATAAATAAATAAAGTCTATGTCAACCTTAGGAAAAATATCCTTCATTTATTCTTTCATTCAACAAACTCACTGAGATGATGCCGCACTGGGGCATGGGCCCAGCGTCCTCAGTAGAGCGTTGCCCACAAAAAAAAATAAAAAACAGAAAAACTCACTGAGTTACCCATTCTGCCCCACCCTGTGCCGGGGTCGAAGCGGTGACGAAGACAGCCCCAGCCCTGCCCTCACCGGGGCTTACATACAAATGCTCACCCACGAATTTCCTTTCCAGTGTTCCCTGCCCCACCCCATAGTTGTTGAGGAAGGTCTGGCTGGGCTGAATCCGGACTCCTTCCCTCCGGAGTGACTCCAGACTACAGGGTGTAAAGGACAGAAACCCATTCATCCCAGCTCCCAAAACCCTGGGAGGTGCTCTGAGAGCTGTGCCTCTCCCATCTCCTGGCAGGCCGTGTTGTCCCCTTGTTGGTTTCTCTGCCAGCCAGGCCCTTGCCTGGAGCGGAGCAAGATGGCTGAGAGCCGCCACCCCAGGAGAAAATGGGCCTTAGGTAAGCTCCAGCCTGATCTATTGGCCCACAGAGCCGCTCCTGGGCTGGTCACAGTGTTGCTGAGTGGTGGGTTTGGGTCCCCCAGTGGCAATGGCATGGGGCTGAAGTTGGTGTGGACAGGGAGAGGGGGAGCTGGCATCGGACACGTGTACTGAGTATCAGCTGTGCACCAGGCGCCATTCTAGTAGCTGGGAACCAGCTGGGAACAAACAGAGGGCCTCTCTGGAGCTGACATTCTAGTGTCAGAGACCAGCAGTAAAGAAAGAGCTGGCCAGGCATGGTGGCTCACGCCTGTAATCCCAGCATTTTGGGAGGCTGAGGCCAGCAGATCACAAGGTCAAGAGATCGAGACCAACATGGTGAAACCCCGTCTCTACT